TGTAGGAAGTTCCCACACTATTTGGTTGTGGTCCAACAGGGAATGATAGGAGGGGCTGTAATATCTAATCCTGTTCTTGCTGCTTCTTCCCCATTCTTGTTGACCCGTGTGTACTTATTGTTATGATTTGCTGTGTGTCACTAGACAGGGAGTGGTATGCATTTTCTGTCACTATTTGTTTGCTTATAGACATTAAAACCGATGTTTGTTTAAGGCTGTAAAATAACATTTGCATTTATTGGGTGTGAAACTTTTCTATGCCATGGGCCTTTCTGCTGCTTTTCTCTCCCCCTTCCTCTGCCCCCTTTCCAATTCCATTTCTTTTCTTTCAACAAGAGTTCCTTTAGGTTACATGTCCCCGAGATTTGAATTTACCATCTGTACGATGGGCTTCGTAGTACACCTTCTGTGGCTACCAGGCGTGTTAACTGGGGAACACATCCAGCACCTTGCACACAGAAGCTGGACAATGTTAGTTTTCCTTTTTCCTCTTTATTTCCCTGGGCACACTAGGCATGGATGTGCCTTAACTGATGGAGTCCTCTGGGCTCTGGGTGCCAATACCCTCTCAGGTGAGCTGAACAGGACCTTAGGAAGGGAGGGTCTGGATGCCCCAGTTGTGTTCTTTCAGTCATAAAGCATGATTCTGCAGGGCTCCATGTAAAATGGGTTGGACTTAAAGCTTCTTTCTGTGTGCCATAGGCTCTTCAGACAAAGATGCTATGGAAATAGGAGGCACTGTGATGTTACTAATTGGCAGCAACTTTCAATAGACCACCCTGAACTGAAAATGATGCAAGTGTCCCCAGATGTCACTGTGGCCCCTCACTCGTGTACTAAAGTGTGTAATCGGTCAAGAAAAAAGGCAGACAAGAGGACCCTGGAGCCACTCTGCCTTGGGCTATTAGGTCGCTCCAGCGGCTGACCCCTCTCTCAGCACTTTCTTTTTGTTGGGGCAAATTCCTGAAACAATCCTCCCAGCAGCTCATTTCCCTGAGCTGTAATACAGCAGAGGCACCAAGGGGCCCTGTAGTCAGGAATTATTGCCACAAGCAGGAAGTACTTAATGGTTTCCGTTTACTTTGAGTTGGAAGAGGAAAGGCTGAACCTTCCTCACAATAGAGGCAGAAAACGAACATGGCTACACCAGTTCATTTTACCTTCAGGAGGGAAACCAGAGCTCCTACAGGGCAGCAAGGATGACATCTTGAAAGGCTCTGCCACCAACAGAACTAGGACAAGGGGGATTTATCACATATGTCTTGAGTCAAAGTGATGTGTTGAGCTTCTGCCCAGCTGGTGCAGCCAGGCTCATAACTAGCGTGTGTGCAGTCATTGTAGAGGGAGGCAGGAAACTACCGTCCCTGGTGAGCTCACTGCAGGCATCTTTTGCTGTTTTGTAAGTCAGACGCTACTTGGAAAATTAACAGTATGGTAGAGAAGAAATACACAAGGATATGGAAGAATTGAATAATGTAATTGATCTCTTTTCATCCCTTGAAGAGGACTTATGCATCTCTTCTCTTACATTTGTAAAAATCTATCAGGTGTCCATCAAAAAGGAACCCTTAGCAAGTTTAAAAGGTAGAGTTTCTAAAGACCAGAGTCTTGGTTATAATCCAATATAAATGAGAAATAAGTAAGTCTGACCTCCCCTCAGCCCCACCCAAGTCTTGACTATTTAGAAATTAAACACACACTCCTAGATAATTATTGGATCTAAGAGGGAATCAAAAGGGAGGTCATAAACTGTTTAGAAAGAAATGAAAAGAACACTTTATACCAAACCTATATGCCATAGCAAAAGAAGTACCTGGAGGACAGTGTGTAACCTTAAATGTATTCATTGTTAGAAAAGCAAGATGAAAAATAAAGATGATAAGCAATCATTTAGAAAAGCTTGGGAAAAGTGCAACAAACTCATCTGAAAGAAAATAGAAAGAGGGAAATGTGAACAAAAAGCTAAATTTAATGAAACAAAATAAATGGGAAACATCAGGAAGGTGTATACATTTAAATGCCTGTTCTTGGGAAGGACTAAATATAGAGATTTTACCATATGAATGATCAGAGAGAAATGACTGAGCAAATACCAGCATTTTCACTTAATGAAATATTATGCAGCCATTTAATTGGCAGAAAAGCATTTGTAAGAGAGTTGAGTGAGATACTTCTGTCAAGTGAAAAAAAATTAAAAATTGTATTATGATTATAACTATGTGAATACAATCTCCCATCCCTTTCCACCCCCAAGTTCTGAAGAGAGTTAAATCTAAAGAATACATCAAAGGTGGCAGTGGGAATGAAGTACTGACACATGCTGCAACACGGATGAATCTTGGAAACGTTGTGCTAAGTGAAAGAAGCCAGCCACAAAAGACCTCACAGGCAAATCTAGAGACAAGATAGATTAGTTGTTGCCTAGGGCTGGAGTGAGAGGTGGAGTTGAGAAATGGGGGCTGACTACTAAATGGTACAGGGTGTTTTTTTGGAGTGATGCAAGTGGTCTAAAATCAACTATGGTGATGGTTGCATAACTATGAATATACTAAAAACTATCGAATTGTGTACTTTAAGTAGGTGAATTGTATGGTGTGTGAATTATATCTCAATAAAGCTTTTTAAAAATTATCTAAGGTATTAAAAAAGGTATTAAAAGGTATTTTAAAAGATTTAGAACTTGGACTTCATAAATCCTCATGTACCACTAGATACTTTTTCCCAGGGGCCACATTTAAGTATATGAAATAATTGAGACACAGGCTTTACACAGCTGTGTGATCTGCATGTGTTAACATGCCTGCCCGAGTTTTCTCTCAGTTAGAAATAAGTCAAATGGCATTAATGCGGTCCTATAAAGATTTTGCTTACAATGCCATATCTTTTTTGGACTCACCCAGTCATTATATTGGACTCACCCAAGACCTGCGAGGCCAGTTGTACCTCCTGCTTCTGGGTAAGACTAGTTCTTTATCAGTTCTTCAGGCCAGTCATTGAGTTTGCTATGGCCCACACTGGGTGAGAGAGGGAGGTACCTGAATCTCAGCCCAAAGTGTACTTGTCTTCTATTCAGATTAGTCCAGTTTCACTCACACTAGTTTGAAAGCCTGAGTCTAGGGGGAANTACCAAACCTATATGCCATAGCAAAAGAAGTACCTGGAGGACAGTGTGTAACCTTAAATGTATTCATTGTTAGAAAAGCAAGATGAAAAATAAAGATGATAAGCAATCATTTAGAAAAGCTTGGAAAAAGTGCAACAAACTCATCTGAAAGAAAATAGAAAGAGGGAAATGTGAACAAAAAGCTAAATTTAATGAAACAAAATAAATGGGAAACATCAGGAAGGTGTATACATTTAAATGCCTGTTCTTGGGAAGGACTAAATATAGAGATTTTACCATATGAATGATCAGAGAGAAATGACTGAGCAAATACCAGCATTTTCACTTAATGAAATATTATGCAGCCATTTAATTGGCAGAAAAGCATTTGTAAGAGAGTTGAGTGAGATACTTCTGTCAAGTGAAAAAAAATTAAAAATTGTATTATGATTATAACTATGTGAATACAATCTCCCATCCCTTTCCACCCCCAAGTTCTGAAGAGAGTTAAATCTAAAGAATACATCAAAGGTGGCAGTGGGAATGAAGTACTGACACATGCTGCAACACGGATGAATCTTGGAAACGTTGTGCTAAGTGAAAGAAGCCAGCCACAAAAGACCTCACAGGCAAATCTAGAGACAAGATAAATTAGTTGTTGCCTAGGGCTGGAGTGGTTGGGGGATTGGGGAATGATGGCTATGACGTTTCTTTTTGGGGTGGTGGAAATATTCTAAAACTGGTTTATGATAGCTGCACAACACTGTGATATACTAAAAACCACTGAATTGCATACTACAAGTGGTATGGAATGTGAATTATAGCTCAGTAAAGCTGCTACCAAAAAAAAAATCACAGTAGTTGTCTTGGGGGATAGAAATATCGGTGATTTTTCTCTTGTCTTCCCACCCTCTTCTGTAATTTCCAGATTTCCAAGTTTTCCAGATACAGTTCTGCATTACTTATATAATGGAAACACGTAATAAACTAAAAAAGCTTTATAGTAAAAATGTTAATAATCAGCTTTTTACCAGAAAAGGTAATGATGAAAAATCTGCTAGCTTGCCTCCTGAGGAGGGGAAGGGAGGCGACTCCTATATCCTAAAGTCTAGGGAGGTTGTCATGGGCTGCTGAAGGGTCAGTTGCTGTCACATACATAAAGTGCCGAAGGGCCATTCTCCTGCAGGTCATGGAAAATGTAACCACATTTGTTTGGGGCCTCTCAGGGGCAGGATCCCATCTCTGGGAAAAGTGGGGGTCTCGTGAAACCTGGGGGATGGCTAGGAGGCACTGATTTCCAGAGAAATATTCTAAAGGGTGTTGGGCTCTGCTGAGTGCTGAAGGGCAGGCTGTTACTTATATAACTTCCTGTAATTGCCCGGCAGTAGCTGCCCCTGAGAGCTGCCTCCCTGTCTTTGCTAAGCACAGGCCACACACCTTTCCCTCCTTGCAGCTGGTTTACCTTCTCCGTGGGCTTTGTGCATGGTCAGTCTTTTTTCACCAAAACTGAAATGCCATTTTAAACAGAAGACTCCTTCCTGTCTTTTGAAGATGGGAAATTCGTATGCTGGACAGCTGAAGACGACACGGTTCGAGGAGGTCTTGCACAACTCCATTGAGGCTTCCCTGCGGTCCAACAACCTGGTGCCCAGGCCCATCTTCTCCCAGCTGTACCTGGAGGCTGAGCAGCAGCTTGCCTCTCTAGAAGGTAAGAGATGCCTGTTTCTTTTGTGTATTTCTTTTGTTCTGTGCAGTTAATGTTAGCAACAAAACTTGAAACTCTTTCTTCTTCTGCTCTGGATAGGAAATACTGAGTGTAGCAGAAAAGAATCAATAGAAAAAGAAAGTTGCACTGAAGTTCTTACTTGGCTAAAATTAAGTTTCAGCCATAAAGTTGTGAGGAATAAAATTGTTCATTGGATTAACAGAAAGGAAGATTAGATTGTTTTGAATTTGTTACTTATACTGTTATTAGAAGGTTTGACATTTTCACTTGGATAAGTA